CACACCTGCCCCGGGGCCGTGTGCAGGGCAGGCCCCTGCACGCACACCTGCCCCGGGGGCCGACCCCCCCCAGCGCAGGAAAGCCCCGCGCGCACCTGCCCCGGGGGCCGACCCCCCCCGGCGAAGGGAAGCCCTGCGCACGCCTGCCCCGGGGCTGACTCACCCCTCCTGTGCGGTGCAAGGAGCTGATGCTCCCTCCCGCAGTACACCTGGCAGAGCAGCTAGTGCTACTTCTGGAATCGCTGGAAGTGGCGCTAAGCTGCGGGACTTCTGTCCATCCCCGGGAAGCCTACGCTACCTCCATTTTCACTGGAGGTAGGTAGTAGGGCTTCTCGGGGGTGGGAGGGAAATGGGGGCGGGGCGGACAGGACACCTCGCGATCGACTGGTCGAGGCCTCGCGATCGATCAGTCGATCGCGATCGACCTGTTGGTGACCACGGCTCTAATGTATAAAATCAGTGCTTCTTGCGCAAATACTCTGACGCTCCCACTCAGGGATAACCCCTCTTGCACAACTGTTCTTACGCAAGAGGCCAGTGTAGACAGGCAACGTTAATTTCTTGCGCAAGAAAGCCCGATGGCTAAAATGGCCATCGGAGCTTTCTTGTGCAAGAGAGCATCTACACTGGCATGGATGCTTTTGTGCAAAAGCACATCTCTTGCGCAAAAGCACATGCCAGTGTAGACGCTCTCTTGCGCAAATACTTTTAATGCAAAAACTCTTGTGTTAAAAGTATTTGCGCAAAATCATGCCAGTGTAGATGTAGCCTATGACTTTTACTAAAATGTGAAAAAAAGACCTCAGCCTTGTTTATACACATTGCTTGGTCAACACTTCCAATTATGCAGTGTATCCAATTTCTTGAAACAGTACATTTTAAAATGTGTTTAAACATGCTGGCCTCATTTCTCAGCTGCATTCCCTCTCTGAGCCACAGGAATGCAGATTGACCATTTTATATGGGAATTCCCCACCCTAAGGAGGGCTTCCTGGAAATCACGGAAGTGGTGTAATACCTTTATACTGACTTACCCCAGGATATCCCTGCTGCAAGGATGTATCAGGGCAGCTGTGGGGTTGTTTGCTCTGTTCATTGGCTATGTGGGGCTGGTACAGTGGCCCACAGACAGATATGGGAAGCTATATTAGCTGTCTCCATCATGCGCTCATTTGAAAAACTACTTTTGACACCTCATGGTTAATATTAGCCTCTTGTCCTGTGTTTTTTGGGGAGCTGTGCTAGCACCAGGACCCAGCCCTGTCCTCATGTGCCTTGCAGAGATGTTACATGCTAACTGCGTGGTCCCCCTAGTAGCGGTGTAACACAGATTGCACCCACCCCAAAACTTTGCTGTTACCTGTGCACTGCCCTCACAACCACTGGATGTGGTGCACACACACACAGCCCTGAGCCCAAACTGCCACTCACAGAGACAAGTCCCAGCATGAAGTGCTGCCCCCGAGCGTCAGTGTATGTAGCGACAGGCCCCCGCAGGCGACACTGCACCTTGAGCTCAAGTGGCCTGTACACCCATCCCAGAGTGTAACTTCACCCTGAGGGCTGCCTGCAGAGACCGCTCCCAGCAGGCAACGCTTCAGCCGGGGCCAAGAGGCCAGCGGCCTTGGACACCTCTCGCCCTACAGAGCGTCACCCTGCAGTTGTCCAGGCAACGGAGACCGCTCCCAGCATGCCGTGCTTCGCCCTACCCTGCCAATCAAGGCTCCAGGTGGGGAGGGAGGCCGAGCTGAGAGCACACAACTCGCAGGAGCGGGCCGCCCCACCAGCGGGCTGAGGGGTATCTTCCTTTCCCGCTGATGGGGCCACACCACATAGACCCCCCCCTTCTCCCCGCACACCTGGGCGAAATGGACTGACCCAACGCCACCTCCCTCCTCTCACCGAGTTGGCTTCGACGAATGCTCTTTTTTTAGGGAGGCCTACGGACGCCGCCGTGGCGGCGGGAAGGGTCACGTGACGAAGGAGCGCCTATGGCGGGGCAGCTCCCTTGGCGTGGCTGACCGGCCTCGTGCGGGACAGTTTGGGGGGGGTCACGTGCCCCCCCGCCACAGCGGAACGGGCGGCCGCGCGCG